GATAGATCTACAGGTCTGTAGATAGATCTACAGGTCTGTAGATAGATCTACAGGTTTGTAGATAGATCTACAGGTCTGTAGATAGATCTACAGGTCTGTAGATAGATCTACAGGTCTGTAGATAGATCTACAGGTCTGTAGATAAGTGTATACAGTTATAATTTTTGGTGAGACTATGTCACAAAATTTTATGTTATCATTGTGTTTATTTTTACTTTTTCAATACTCTTTCTTTTAATCTAAAATAAAACAACTATCATTTCAAGAATATTTATTTGTTAATGAGCAATTATGAAGCAGTTTCTTATCTCATCTTTTTCAATCTTGTGCAAGCCAAATGTCTGATGTGCAATCACCTCCAGGGTACCTAAAAACAATGATTTTGCAAGAAATTTTACATAAATTGAACAAACCTCATTTCATGAGCCAAAAGTGGTCCATCAGGCCCAATTCCAAAATCAACCAAAAAATTCTCATCCAATTTCATCCCACCTTTCTCTGTATCGATATCGATTTTAACAATAGTCGCACCTTTTTCTATAGTCTCAGGATAAAATTGTCGATCCCAAGGGGAGTACAAACTCGAGCTAATATACAGCCGCTTTCCATCAAGAGATAATTGCATCATTTGGGGACCACCCAAGATGCGCCTTCCTTTAATATAAACAGGATCGGGTTGTTCTTTCAATTCTTTATCTTCCAAGACTTTAATTTTAGAATCTTTCAAAATTTTTCCACCCAAGAATAATTGTCCCGTTAATTTTGGGTGTGCGGGATCCGAGATATCATATTGTCTGACATCGCCATGTAGCCARTTATTGAGATAWAGAAATCTGTCGTCGAGTGATAATAAAATATCTGTKATCATCCCGTTTATGTAGTCTCCATCCCAACCAGAAACTTTTTTAGCTGGAATATCGATAACCTTGTCAACAGCCCAACTTCCATCACCTTTCTGATAAAACCTGTAAGAGGAAATAAMCTCGAGATTTGCTACAGCTTTGTCATCACCTGAAGATATTAGCGTTGAGGGCACACCCAACAAAACCTTGGGGCTGTTTGGGGTTATGCAAAAATCGAATTTCAAGCGGGCTCACTCCATCAAACCCTAAATTAACAGTTTGCAAAAGCTCCCGTTTCGACCATGAGAAGAAGTTGAGGGAACGTCCGTAAATTTTCTGGTCGTCAGGATCAGTGGATTGAAAACCACGTTTGAGAATTCTGGGAGCCCCCCATTCGGATGATACCATTATGTCGAAATATGGCTGGTACCAAAAGTCGTAATTGAAGGCTCCGGTCTTATTTCTAGTCCAGGTTCCTTTCACTTCAAAAGTTTTACCATCAAGTAAAATAAACTCACATTTGCCGTTGCCTTGATTGTCACCCATTGCCGAAATCATAACTTCTCCACTTGCTAGGCAATGGGTGGTGTGCGGGGTGGAGCAGTTGAAACGGTGGATTTCTTCAGCTTCGACCACCTAATTAGGAATTTTTGTAAGTTTTTTAGTGCTAAAATTTTTGATGATAATTTAGACCATATGGTTTGACCGTTGACTTACAGCTATTTTTTAAATAAAGTAATCAGGAAATAGCAATATTAGGATTATCTAAATATTTGAAAATTCTTATTTTCTTATTCCTGAAAACACAAACAACTTAATTGTAACAACTTAATTTAACTTTTTTGAACATATTGCTCAATATTTTAGAGTAAATTGAAATCATTTGCTTTTTTAAATAATAAACGATAAGTTAGCGAAAACTTAAATAAAACTAAAATAACAAAACTTTTTAATTAGTTGGAAAATAGTTGCAAAAATAAAAATTTCGAGGAGCCGGACCGTTAACTTGAAAAAAATGTGTACACTAATTCTAATTTCAAAAAAATTCCAGTAATTCCTTTTTTTTAATATTAATTCCTATAATTCCCAACTAATTCCTGTAGTTTCAACTAAATTCCTGTAATTCCAACTTAATTTCCGTAATTACAAAATAATTCCTGTAATTCCAAATTAAATAATTCCTTGAGGTTCAGCACTTGGGCAATGTACTCAAGTATGTACAACTGCGTCATCAATATGGTACACCAAGTAAAGTAAGTAAAGAATTCCAGTAATACAAAAAAAATCAGCAATTCCAATAAGAATTCCAGCAATTTCCAAAAAAAATCTAGTAATTCCAGTATTGCAAGAGAAAATCCAGTAATTCACAAGTAATTCCAGTAATTCCAAACAATCCAAAGATAATTTCAATGCCAAATACTTACAAACAATTCCAAGCAATTTCCGATTAAGTTCCAAAAAATTTTACAACTAATTCCAGAGTGAACGGCCCCTCGAAAAATTCTATCTTGTATGAAACGAGATATTTACAAACAATATTTAAAGTTTAAAGTTTTAAAATCCACAAAAGTTATTTTAAAAATTCCAAGAAGATTTCTTGATGCAAAAATAAAATCAAGTTAATGTTTTTTCGAAATTGGGGTTCAAGAGGTAAAATTATTAGAGGCCATCAAGAATTTCCCCTGAGTTGGATACAAAATCCAGGTCAACATTTTTACAATAAAGCTGAGATCAACCGATAACCAAAAGACAATTTTTGGTTTTGTTGAGACTTTTAATTTAAAATATGTACTAGGTATTTTGGTTTGTCTTTAGTTTATTTTAAATACGAATTATGTGGAAAAAATTTTTTTTTCTTACTTTGTGCATAGTTGGAGCCCTTGGATTTTTCTCTGTATCGACGACATAAATTCTGTCGGAATTGAAAGCCGGCAAAATTAGTTTATCCCGTTTTGGAACATCGCAGCACCCCTTCGTGTCATGACAACTGGAACAGACATTCCATCCAGTGTGATGCAGCTCATCGTTAAGTCTTCCGGTCCTCAATCTGTGAATAACCTGATAAAAAGTAATCAGTGTTGACGACAGACAAACACTGGTGGTAATACTTGGCAATAAGTAGGTGACGAAGGGTTAACGTCCACAGTTGCTAAGAGGTCGGTTTTTCCTTCGGCTTGATTGGGTTGAATACAAACAACATAGAGTAATTCTTCTCGAGGGCCGTTTTTCATGGCATCGAGAGGAGTAGCATATCCAGGGCCTGTGAGTTTTGAAATAGTTCATTAGCCGTGTCAATGAATTTGACCTTGATTCGACTTCTATTGAACATAAAACGCTGGTACTTACCATTTGACGACATGATGAAAACTGAGTTGCAGGAGAATTTTCAAATCAATCGTGCTTATGAACAAGTGGGCAAATAAATCATAAATGGATAAGATATATTTGTTTGTTTCTAGGTTTGGTTGGCTCTCTTGGATAGTAGACACGCACGCAGGATATGGTTTAAACGAGTCATATTTAAATTAAATACAATGAATCGGTAATTTTAAACAAATGAGTATGTTTTTAAAAATTTGCATAAATTTGTAACAAACATTGTTAAAGTCAATTCATTTAAACATATTTATTTTTATAAATTTGACTACAACGGCGAAGATGACATAAATAATAAAAAAACGATTTTTTTATAGGTGTATTTTATTGAGATAATAGAGTTTTTGCAAACCGTAAAAATGTTTAACGTATTACGACAAATAGCCGTTGCTAGGAAATCAAAAAATTAGACGATTACGTAAACGTCTTTGACGAAATACGCCTTTTGCCCTTAAAAGACGTACACACGACAATTAAATGACGTTGTCGTTAAGGTTAACATTAAACTAAACGGTTTGCAAAAACTCTCTATTATATTAAATAAGTATGTGTTAACAACAAAAAAAATCCATTAAGAATAATATAACAATAAATTAAAGTAAATTCTATTAAAGAAATGAAAAATAAACAACATTAAATAGATTAAAACTAATCCTGTTAACGTGTAAGTATGGATAATTAATTTTTACTCCTATAAATTAAGGGATTTCATTAATTTAAATGTTTGTGTGAAACTTAAAATAAAGTGTTGACAACGCGATTAAAGCAAACCGCATTTTAGTACTTCACTTCCTATTTTTTTTGTTTTTACTTCTGTAACTACAAAAAATGCTCTTTTGGTTTTGTTATACGAATACAAAAGTGTCGTTTGATGTTAAATTGAAAATGCTGTAAAATTCTGATGCGTTTTGACGTTTCTCACGATTTTTTATTATTTTTGATTAACAATTATTAATGAAACAAAAGCTTTTATTAGATATCAAGGCGTTAATATAAAAATACTGCGCAAAAAATAATTKTGCATTGTGTAGATTAGTAGATTAAGTCGAAATAAACTTATTCCTTATAAATATATTTTCAAACTTCTTTTTTAATTTAGTAAAAAAAAACTATTTTATGTCAAACTTCGGGTTATTTTGTGATTTAGCTTATTTCTAAAATACAATTTTCTAAAATACAATGATTTTCTTTTCTATTTAATGAGTTTCCTTTTTAATTTGAACATTTTAAAGACACAAAGTGATAGTTTAAGAATTAAGAATGTTAACTTTGGCTAAAATTTTGAGACAGAAACATGCACAAAATTATTGTTACCACCTAACAATTCTTACCTCTCTCATCCCCAAGAAAAACAAGATTTTAATATTTAAGAAAGAAAATTGCCTGACTTTTTTCTCTCCTAAATTTTTGATTAAACAACAGATCGGTATCTGTAAATCTGTCTACAGACCTGTATCTCTAGATCTATCTATCTACAGAACTGTAGATCTAACTGCAGACCTGTATTTGTAAATCTGTCGGTAGAACTATTTACACAACTGTAGCTGTAGATCAATCGGTAGGTCTATCTGTAAATCTCTCTACAGACATATATCTGTAGATCTATCTGTAACTCTATCCACAGACCTGTAGATCTATCTACAGAACTGTACATCTATCTACAGAACTGTACTCATAGATATAACTACAGACCTGTAGATCTATCTACAGGTCTGTAGACAGATGTAGATAGATCTGTAGATCTGTAAATAGATCTACAGGTCTGTAGTTATGTCTACAGTTATGTTGATAGATCTACAGTTCATAAACACCACTGATTACCCTGATGGTCCACTCCCCCCACTTTTTKATTCAAATTTTATTGTGAACGTAATTGGGTCCTCCCAGGTGCAATGTTGAAGCAGATATATCTCTATCCTTTTAWWTCTAGTAACTTTTTAAACATTCATGTTTGTAACATTAGTGTTATTGTCAAGAATGTGAGAGCGCGCTGCATTACCATTGGTTGAGGGTGTAAACTCTATGCTCTGGAGAAGTGCGCACTATGTGCGTTTCAAGCGAGGTCACAGATTATGAAATAGCGACTTCAAATGTGCCTCCTAGGAGTAAACCATCAGGGTAATCAGTGATAAACACGATTGATTTGAAAATTCTCCTGCAACTCAGTATTCACCATGCCTTCAAATGGTAAGTATCATCGTTTTATGTTCAATAAAACTCGAATCAAGGTCAAATTCATTGACACGGCTAATGAACTATTTCAAAACTCACAGGCCCTGGATATGCTACTCCTCTCGATGCCATGAAAAACGGCCCTCGAGAAGAATTACTCTATGTTGTTTGTATTCAACCCAATCAAGCCGAAGGAAAAACCGACCTCTTAGCAACTGTGGACGTTAACCCATCGTCACCTACTTATTGCCAAGTATTACAACCAGTGTTTATCTGTCGTCAACACTGATTACTTTTTAACAGGTTATTCACAGATTGAAGACCGGAAGACTTAACGATGAGCTGCATCACAGTGGATGGAATGTCTGTTCCAGTTGTCATGACACGAAGGGGTGCTGTGATGTTCCAAAACGGGATAAACTAATTTTGCCGGCTTTGAACTCCGACAGAATTTATGTCGTCGATACGGGGAAAAATCCAAGGGCTCCAACTATGCACAAAGTAAGAAAAAAACTATTCACACCGATATTTTGAAAAGAACGAGGAAACTTTCCCAAAAATTTTTCCACATAATTTGTATTTAAAATAAACTAAAGACAAAGCAAAATATCTAGTACATATTTTCAATTAAAAGTCTCAACAAAACCAAAAATTATCTTTTGGTTATCGGTTGATCTCAGCTTTATTGTAAAAATGTTGACCTGGATTTTGTATCCAATTCTTATCTCTATATTGAACGCCAATTTCGAAAAAACATTAACTTGATTTTATTTTTCTATCACTTCTACTTCTTGGAAATTGCCTTTTATGTTATTTAGACATTTTTACTAAAACTCAGATTCTAAAATAACTTTTGTGGATTTTAAAACTTTTAATATTGCTTGTAAATATTTCGTTTCATACGTTTCACTCTGGAATTAGTTGTATAAATTTTTGGAACTTAATCGGAAATTGCTTGGAATTATTTGTAAGTATTTGGAATTATTGAAATTATCTTTGGATTGTATGGAATTACTTGTGAATTACTGTAATTTCTCTGGTTTTTTTTGCAAATTGCTGGAATTCTTATTGTAATTGCTGATTTTTTTTTTTAATTATTATTGGAATTACTTTTATTATTACTGGAATTCTTTACTTACTTTACTTGGAGTACCATATTGTAGTCGCAGTTGTACTTGACCGCGCTGCCCGATTGCTGAACCTCAAGGACACACATGAATAATTTCTTTTCAAAATTAAGTTGAATTTCTTAGAACTATTTAATTTGGAATTACAGGAATTATTTTGTAATTACGGAAATTAAGTTGGAATTACAGGAATATAGTTGAAACTACAGGAATTAATTCGGAATTACTGGAATTAAATTGGAATTATAGGAATTAATGATGAAAAAAAGGAATTACTGGAATTTTTTTGGAATTGGAATTAGTGTATACATTTTTTTCAAGTTAACTGTCCGGGATCTCGAAATTTTTATTTTACAACTATTTTCCAACTAATTAAAAAGTTTTGTTACTTTAATCTTATTTAAGTTTTCGCTAACTTATCGTTGATTTAAAATTTTATTTAAAAAAGCAAATGATTTCAATTTACTCTAAAATATTGCGCAATATGTACAAAAAAGTTAAATTAATTTGTTACAATTAAGTTGTTTCTGTTTTCWGGAATAAGAAAATAAGAATTTTCAAATCCTAATATTTTTATTTCCTAATAACTTTATTTAAAAAATAGCTGTAAGTCAATGGCCAAACCATATGGTCTAAATGAAATTATCCTCACTAAAAAACTTAAAAAAATTCTTAATTAGGTGGTCGAAGCTGAAGAAATGCACCGTTTCAACTGCTCCACCCCGCACACCGCYCATTGCCTAGCAAGTGGCGAAGTTATGATTTCGACAATGGGTGACAATCAAGGCAACGGCAAATGTGAGTTTATTTTACTTGATGGTAAAACTTTTGAAGTGAAAGGAACCTGGACTA